CGGAAGCGTTAAAGGACTATCCTGCTCGAGTGCGCCTACCACCAAGCAGCCGAATGCCCCTCAACCCAGCGTTCGAACATTGAATATGGTCTAAGCCATTCGAGCAGCAAAACTATGTGGACAATGATAATGCCAAATCACAACCACATCCTCTTTCGGCAAATACTCCGCGCAAATTGCGGTTGCTACGCAATGGCATCTTGCAAACTGTGCTAAAGATATGTATGTGCGTGTGGTGATCCATGGTTTGCCCCTACTGCTGCCGTTACCCACTCTGTCACTCCTGCATTCTCCCCCTGCCCTTCCCTCTATCCACAATCGTTCCAAGCTCCTCCTTCCGTACACGTCCACGCCCATCTTCCTGGTCATCACCCTGCTCCTGCGACTGCTTATCATAATCTAAACCCTCCTCCTGTACCCTATTTTCCCACCCCGCACCATGCTTCCACTGGGACTTGTTCAACTCTTCCTGCTGATCCTTCCCTGTGAAGCCTGATTTCAGCCTCGGCGCTCGAGGGATGATCGTCTCCACGTGTTTCCTGGTTGGTTAAGTCGGCGCGCGCGTCATGTCATCCAAACCACATGCGCTTCTTGGAGATGTAGCACGCGCGTGTTCAACGGTTTCTCCTACAGGCTCAGCCCCTATGAGCGCACGCCAGTGCACGCCGTGGTGATACAGCAGACAATGTGGGCTTGCTGGCTGTATGTGCTGCGCGGCATGGTAGCAAAGCCAAGCTAAGACCATGGTCCAAACACAACTTTCAACAACGACTTCGAACGATAACGTCCGCGAAAGGCGATAACTGCAACGACCCACCAAAGGAAACACAGCCAAGACATGATGAATGATGACAAGTAGTTGTGGGAGGGAGGCGCGATACAAATACGACACCGGTTCTGTGGGGGGGAGATGGAAATGAGGAGGGGCCCGATTCCAGAGCGTGGTCACGAGGCGGAGACGAAGGGCAGGGAGGTCGGGATAGGGATGCGAGGGGAACTGAAACAACCAGGCTCAGTAGGGCTTATGCATTATAGGGCTACGTCTAACATGCAATTATGGCCAAATCGACGGGAATCGGAACTGAACCTGACGCCGAAACCGGGGTGAGGGCACACATCGTTAAATACTTAATGGATCAGAGCGAAAGACATCATCAGTGACACCGCGTCCCGCCAGCCAGTGAATCGGGACGCCACGAAGACACACCACGCCAACCATGCAGCCTAACAGGAGCATGCACAGCACAACAAGTCAGCTACGCCAGCCCGAGCAAGCAACAAAACTCGCGAACAACTGACCACGCGTGTCATGCACGAAACGCGACATCGAACTATTAAAGATTTCCCGGCCTGGATGGCGACTTACCACACAAACTGAAAGCTTTCACACCCTCACGCCCTTATGCTCATCACCGTATACCAGGCATGTGGTTGCGGACAGACCTGCTGAACCTGAGAAGTCGTGAGCAGGCAGTAACACATCCATGGAACTCCCTATGATTCGCCTCGTGATCCACCGGCCCCTATCGCTCCCCTTCCTCCAAGCCCCTCAGACACACCGCAAATTCCGGATGCCCGTCTCCTTGGAGACAGCGCCAGCAACGCGGCGCTCTGGAGCGCATCCGGCTGCCGTGTCAGCCTTGCAAGATGGAGGTCAGGACGAGATATACAGTCGGGGCGCTGAAGAAGGAACCCTCTTCGTTTGGGAAGGGCTCAGTGTTCCTTAGCTGTTTTACAAATCGTCTGTGGTTTTCCTCAATTAGTTTTTCGATGGGAAGTCGAAGTTCAACTTATGGAAAAAGGGGCCTCGTTCCTAGTCTAGGGTTCCTTAGGTCAACGCCCCACTTGTATAGACGCGGCATCACCCCTCTGATACGTTCTTCCCCCGTCCCCAAGCAACGGATACTCTCAGAGGCTGGCGGCAAACGGAGAAACTTGGCAACGGGATGACCACCACGAGAACCAAGCTCACCCCAGCCGGCCAGATGGTTAGACACTTCTGGTAACTCTCATTCTCCTGACGCGATCGTGTTGGCTGGTAGCGACGAAAATCAGATCTATGCCTGCGAATCTCAAAGCGCTGTGCCAGGAGGTCGCCGGAGGTATTGACGGGGACCAATGGAGGGTCAAAGACGGCCCAAAACGCAAACAATCGGAGAAGGCCCAATCCTCGACAATATCCTTGACTAGCGGGCTCTAAGAGAAAGAATTATTGATACCACCAGAGAGCAGACATCAGAACTCCCCAAACGGAAGGCGGCCCTGTCTGGACATCGGCGCTCGACTGCTTCCTTGAACCCCGTCGCACACAGAAGCAGCGGGCGGAAGATACGCGGAGGATGGCGACGAGGACGGAGGTGAAGGAAGCCTGGGGGCATGCCCAGTACGCGTGCCTGGTGCGAGAGTGCCGAATCTGATGTTCTTGGCCTGAGGCGCGCGGATCCGCGTCTTGGTAAAACAGGCGAGGATCGGGATAAATCGCTCCAGAGCGTTCCCGAGCGCTCTCAGAGCGTTCTGGAACGCTCTGGAGCGGCCGCGGCGCCCAATACATCCTCCAAACCCGCCGATTCTCAGAGATTTCGAGTTATCCCGATCCGATTTTGTCCCGATCTTCGCGTCGTTTTACTTGGCCCGCCAGACGCCGTGCGCCCAGCAGCGGCGCCCGTCGACATCGCGCGGGCGAGGCGGACGACCCGCGGGTCGCGGGGTCCTCTGCGTCTGGAGGCGCCGCCGGTCCGCCGCACGGCCGATCCCTGCCTCGCAGGGCGGGAAAGATCCAATCGCCTGGGATCCGACCGGCCCCACTCCACTTCTCTCCCTGACCTTCCAGGAGGGCTAACAAAATAGCACGCGACTTAAAAACCTATCCCAGAGCTATTGTACGTCTTGGTTTTAGGCTGTTTCGCTCCACTTGTTAGGTCTTTAGGTCTCCAGTGCCAAAAAATAGCTCTCTGAAGGTCAGGGCTGGGCCGCCGCAGGCGGCGTGGAACCCGGCGCGCCAGCGAGCCGTGGCCCCGCGGTGCTGGGCGCGCGGGCATGGCGGACGGCGTGGTGCTCGGTGCGGCCGGGGGAGGTGGAGCCCAGGGAACCCTGCGCGCAGCTTCTCCAACGGCCGCGGGAAGAGTCACCGCGCAGCGCGCCGAGCGCAACCCGAGGTGCCCTGACCAGACGCGTCCGGCTTCTGGGCGCGCGGCCCCCGCGTGGGGGCGGGCTCAACCCTGAGCTTCCAGAGAGCTGTCTTTTAGCACCGGAGGTCTAAACACCGGAAAGAAAAACGAAACGGAGCATCCTGAAACCGAGACGCAGAAGAATATAGCTCTGGGGTCGGATTTTTTCAGTCGGGCGCTCTTTTGGTTGGCCCTCTCCTGGAGGGTCAGGGCAGCCGCAGCGGCCGCGGCAGCGGCGGCGCACCCGGGCGGTGGCCGGAGCGTGGCACGCCCGCGTCGGCCGCTGCCCCCGCGCGGGGGGGGGGGGGGCGGCGCGCCCGCGGGGGCCGCTGCGCAGGCACCGGGGCGCCCGGAGTGAGCTCGGGGCGAGGCGTGATCTGGGACGCACAGGCTGCCTTGGAGGCTATACACCCTGCGAGATGCTTAAGAAATCATGGGTTAAGAAATTCATAGTCTCAGAATTTAATGAAAACCCAGAATTTCTATCAAAATCTTAAGAATTAAATGGAAACGTTTAGAAAAATCGAAACTCTGGCCGAAAACTTAAGTTTTCTTGTTCATCGCCTAAGGTGTATGACTTGCCCAGTTTCATCAAGTATTGTTTAAGCTTTGGTACTTGGTTTTGCTCGGGTCATTTTTTCTATGTCGGGCGCCGCCGTCTCCCGAGATTAAGCCTTCGAGGCCCCGAGCGACTAAATTACCCCCGAGGCGCGCGCCCGAGCGCATTCATGCGTAGTGACAACATCATGTGCTAGCATTCCATAGCATGGCATACCCTGACCTCCCACGAGGGCAACAAAAAATAGCACCCGGCTTGCAAGCCTGTCCCAGAGCTGTTCTACGTTTTGGTTTTTTAGGATGTTTCGTTCCGTTGTTTGGCTGTTAGGCCTGCGGTGCTAAAATATGGCTCTCTGGAAGGTCAGGGTATGTATACGTTCGATCGCTGATCTACTGATGCTATATGTCCGCCTTGGAGGCGCGCGTCCGACCCTGTCATAAATAGTATACCCATCTTGTAGTGTATCGTTTCCCGGGCGGTGTGGCCAGAGAGCGCCCGCCATGACGCGTATACTATAAGCCTTCTCGGTGCGCGCGTCGCCCCTGTGGAAGGCGACGCACACACACATACACACATACCGATATATAGTATAAGTATGTTGGGGTGGCGCCGCTGATCGGCATCAACAGAAGATGGCTCACCGCGTCTGCGCTTGAGCCAAACGGGCCGACGTCCCTCAGCCGTTCCTCCGGCCTCATCGGTTTGCCCACCGAAGCCATACCTTCCAACCATCACGGCAGGCGCGTGCGATGCGAAAACTTGCTAGGGCACCTAGGGGCACGCACTCGTCGTCCATCGTGGATCTTCCTCAGACGGCACCAGGCTTATGTAGGTCCCCAGGGGCATGAGCAGTGTCCGTGGGCCGCCCACTGGCAAAGTTGTTCCTCACTTGACGCGCGCGCGCGGGAACACAGTCTCGACGTCGACCTTGCTCGCAAAGGCGGGAGCGGAAAACACGAGCGTCTGGGCCCTCCCACTGCCCCGAAACGCCGGCCGCAACATCTCAGTGTTGCTCTCGAATCGGCGGGAACTTCGGCGCGGAATACTTCTTGGTCGAGAGAGGCAGCACGGGCATGACGGATAGGGGTCCCGAGGCAAGGCCTCCCCCAGGGCCAGCTGTCCATCCCCAGTCGCCTGGTGACGGCCCTGGGGCCCGGGAAGGACCCTGGGATGCCGACGAGGGCGAAGGGAAATCCATAGGGGAACGAAAAATGACATAAACACAAAAACTCGGAGGTCCGCGCGGATTTCTCGGATCGGCGCTGGACCCCCCC